AGTAAAAAGGATCTCCGGTTCTCTACACTCACCATACGAAACATAGCAGCATTAAGCTGCTATTTTACACTAGTATTCTGTGAGAGCATGATCCCCCGTCGAGCCGACCCATTCGTGCTGCAATCATAATATATCTGCAGCATGGCTCTACCATGTAAAAATTATTTAGAGTTCTGTGCTAAGACCCAACGCCGTCTTAGGCCATACCGGGGCTCTTGGGCACACAAGAATTTGGGACCCTATTGGAAAGTAAAAAAAGTGAATGACAAAGACATTTTTCTGCTATGATCTTATATTTAATAAAATTAATTGGTTAAAATAAAATAATATGTCATTAATGACGGATCCACGACTAATTCTGCCACCAGGGCGGCGCCACTTTACAATGAGGTAAAATATTTGACAGATTTCATAGCGGGGACGATAATTTCTTAGGAAAATGTAAACTTTAATGTTTCAAAAAAGAAAATATTCTATAACATCATCAATGCGTGTATTCTTTTTATTTATTACATTAATATTTCGGCTTCACTTGTCTAAAAGTAAGGATCGTAACAATTATTTGCTATAAAATCTAATATTTGTGGTTGAAAATTATCATATTAAAAAAATCATCTACCGTTAAATCTTTTGACGTAGACAGAGAAACCTATAGACTAATGATTAGCGTGGCCTAGAGTGAGAAAGGACGATAACGTAGTTTTAGGTTATAGGTACAATAATATTAATGACTTTTAAACATATTTAGATAAAAATTTTAATTGTTCTAAGAACTGAACTGAACAAGATTCGCCAATCTTAAGCTCACAAAACACTTTTTTTTCTCACTTAAACCAACTTGTAAACTCCTTAGATTGCTACGAACTGTCAAAGTTGTTTAACAAAGTGTAGTTTGCTAAACAAAAAAACCAGCACGGAGAAAGGGACATACAATCACACCGCTCTGTCTCATTTCTATGAAAGACGTATGCATAAATCTATCTTTTTCGTGTGCTAATGCAAAAGAAGGCGTCAATTTGTCAATAGGTTTCTCTGTCTACGTCTTTTGAAGTGTTATTTTTAATAAACAGTACGAAATGATATTTTTATCTCATAAATTATAAATACGTACAAAGAGTCCCGAAAATTGAAAAAATCCGGGCTATAAGCCCGACAAAAACGTTTAGATTGCAGCGAAACGCGGAACTTACATATTTTCTACCTAGGAAATCTCTCAATATCACGTATACATAATGTACTCTGTGATGCCACTTTTGCTGGTTAACTCGGTAATGTGTAGCTTGTCACTGCCCAGGGTTGCCAGAAAGTCATTAACAACACCCTCATTTACTTTATTAGTTTTTTTTTGTCGGGTTATATTTTCCTAAAATAGAAAAAAGATTGTAGCTATAGAGTAAGCGAATAAGGCCAATGCCGATCATCACGGGGGCTCCCATGACGATACGACCTGGGCACAGGCCCTGTGTGCCCTTATGGTAAAGACGGTACTGCTAAGACCGCTCTATGCCACGTGAACTGGACTATAATCAAGGTTGTCAGGACCATTGTTAGAACGTCAGTAAGTGCGTTCTGTTTAATTATACTATGATGCTGTTTACACTGCATTAGATCACGACCTAAATTCATTTGGAGATCGAATGTAGTAGCATTGATCTTGCTATAACAGCTGGCATAAAGTGAATAAAACTCCTCGTATCTCAGCGTTTACTTACTTTTGTAGTCTTCGTGGTAATAAGGCAAGTCCTTGTAATTGCCTACAACATTTAACAGAATCTCTAGTGAACGCCCTAACTGCCTTTATACTGCCCTAGTGCTCCAATTAGGAGACAGTGCGTTCTCAAACTCGCCCGATCCCCCTAAATCAGGATCCTATCTAACTAACATCGATAACACTACCGATCTTAGGGTCATGACCATTGAAGTAATATGTACTTACGGACTAAAACAGCTATTTCAAGCAAAAAATGTGCGCTACTCTGTGTTCCCGCGGTTGGTTTTTTATCATAGAATAAACATAGGTATAATGATCCGTAGGTAATACTAGATTGTATAATATAAATGGTAAATTATATCGAGAACAATATTTAAATTTTGTCATTTATTTTATATATTATATTTGTTTATTTAATATAATATTACATAATATATTACATAATATTATATCACTATTACATTTTAATGATATTTTATCTGAATATTTCAAAAGGTATCTGTGTCAAATATAAAAAAACATACTAAATGTATGTTTAACAAAACTTATTAACATAACATTTAAATTACAAATATATTTATTTAAGTTAGAATAAAAGTCGTTCATAAATGCTGGGCACGAGAGAGTAAAAATGGACGAATTTATTCCACTTTGACTTTGATGTGGAAACCTAAAAATAAAATAAAAGAATAATAAGCAGATTTAAATATGAAAAATTTTGCCAGATTATAATAACTTATATATGTTTCTACAAAAACCTTTGAAAAGTAACCGATGAAAAGTTAACCGATGAAAATTGAAGTATTTCTTTGGTTTTTACTGACATTTCTTGAATTATTTGTGCAATATCTAAGTACACACGACGGCATATTTTTATCACGAGATTTTTTTTAAATCAACACAACGCTTGACAACTCTACAAGCGCCTAGCGAGTGACTGATTAAAGTGCGATGTATGCACCGGTGTTGAGTGGAACAGAGTAGCTGAATGCAGTGTCGCCTCTAGTACGTAGTACATAATTGCTCAATAGTCATGACTTAGTGCCCTATTTATCGTCTAATCGGGGCTATAGTGCAGCACAGGTAATTATATGAAATTATGTGGCGGATCGCAACGAGTGGGTCCGGCAACTAGCAGTGACGTCACGGTGGTCAATCGCCAGTAAAATTTGGCCAAATACTTCAGATGTAAGAGCGCAATTCGATCTTATTTATCTTAGTAACTAATTATCAAGGATAAAAAATAAAAACAGTTTTATATGCAGATTTCTTTACATTTATAACAAAAATCAATAGTTACTCATAGCAGACACAGTGTCAATTTTACACTGCCTTGTCGGTCTACTGGTAGAGTAGAGGGTTAGAATCCCGGATCGGGGCAAATAACAGTAGTTGGGTTTTTCTGACAATAAGCTCTCAGTAGCAGCCTGGAGTCTGGAAGTTGACGGTATTTTATCTCCGTGCCACGGAAAGCAGGCGCAGATCCAAGCAAATTAATTTTTAGGAACTTAAAAAATGCGTTATTTTTTATTTTCTATATTATGTATCAACCTCAAAATGGCGGCTCACCCCCTTCGCTTTGCGTGACGACCCACAGACGGCCCTCAACGTTACAAATTCTTTGATCCTTTAGCTATCGAGTGGTGTAATTAAATTGTGGATGCAGATAATAAATGTGCAGCTGCAATTCTCGCCTGTATCCCTCGATTGTGCTATCATCAGATTTTCTGCATTATCTCCCACTGTGGAAGCAAATTTAAAGACGTATTCACGTCGTAAAAAAATGACAACACACATCATTTTTAAACATTTTATTTCAAATTACATCGTACAGGAATGTTTACACAGTAATAGTAGGTACATTTGCTTTTAATTTAGCAATAGCACAATACAAAATCAAAAGTATAGTATTATGCGTTTGATCCACACTAATACCTCTATAATTAACTAATTCACAAATTAAATTATAAAACGATATAATATGTATATTACAAAATATCTACAACCGAAATACTAAAACAAAAATAAACAAAATAAATAAAATTTGTGTGCCACAATGAAAAGAAAATATTTACAAAATCAATTCAAAATATTACAAAATTAAAACAAAACTACTTTAAAATTATGCTCAATCCAACCAATAATATTAATGCTAGTTTCAGGTTTAAACTATGGTAAACCATATTTTGGTAAACCAGAGTATTTCTCACATATAAAAATCTTATATCCGCGGCGCCAGTCTTCGCCATATTTGAAATTTGCTATCAAACTTTACATTTTATTCCATGGGTCTTTTTACTGGATGTACTACTCATAACTTTTTTATGATAATGGTTGCATAATCGATATGAAGTGTTCATATCGATGTGTAAAACCATTTTTAATTTACGTTTCTGCAGTTATAATTGCCAGCGATCGAATAAATTTTGAATGATCAAAACAAAATTAATTTTAAGAAATCAACACGCGTTTTTGTTTGCGCATAATGCACTTCGTAAAGTCAAGTTATTGATAAACACTTGACATTAGATTTACCAGTGTTACAATTAAGTTTAATTTAGAATAATGGCTTAAGATAATGATAAACGCAGCTGAGTCCTGCCGATATTCATCAGGGCGCGGTCATCTTTTAGACAGAAAGGTTGATAGTAAAGTTGCTTCGCCGCCAAACTGAATGGATATGATTTAACGAGAAAAGAAGTTACGGTAGATAACGTTTAGATTCAAAACAATCGTTTTGTATGACAAGCGTTACTGTATAAACAGTTTTCTGTGTGAAGCATATCGATACGATATGTTATATGTGTGTGTTTTATTTGCGTTTTGATATATCGAACTGATGCTAACTCTAGTTTATACTAACAGGCTAACAGTAAACTACTTTTTGTAATATGACGGTGTATAATTATGTATAAAAAATCAATTTAAACGTAAAGATGTAGGCAATATTTGGGCAGTATTTGGACTTAAGAATATTCCTTCCATTTTTCATTATTACATACTCTTATCGTTTACATCGGTCTTCGTTTATTTCAATTCATATAATTTAACAAATCCAAAAGATACATAGAACGCCTAGCAGACTACAATAAAATGTACTGATATAGAATCTTCAATGCGAAAAAACATTAAGAGTAGATACGGTAGAGTAAATACGGTTCTATAATAATTCCCTGCTGCAAATTAATTTTTTCGATTTCTTCAAATATTTAAGAAATATTACAGTCAAACTATTACTCAGAATAAATTTCAACTTATTCGCAAAATTTATCAATCTGGACTCACGAGTTTACTTCAGATCGACATCATCTCCTAGAAGATCTTCGCACTCTTTTTCCCACTTATCATCTCCAGTCTTTTCTGCGACTACCTCATACTCTTTCAACTCAGCTTCAAGTTCTTTCTCCCATTGCTCTGAAATATGTTAAGTTTCGGAATCAGCATCGTGATTGTATAAAATTAACTTCAAAAATAATTTAGCATCATTAACAACAGAGTTTACTTTGTCTTCGTTCATTTATATCAAAATATATTTGCATCAATCACTAAAACAATAGTTGAGTAATTCAATGTCAAATGTCACCGATGATAATAATAATAATTATATATCACCGATATTAATAAGTAGATTTATTTTTCATAATTATTCTCTTCAACCATAATACTTTTATATATATAAAAAAATTAGTTTTAATGGAAGAAATTTTAACAACATAAACATTACCTTTCAACTGTAAACTTAGAAATAAAAATGCGAATGCTATTTTAGAATAATATAATTATTTCAATTCATAATAGCTAACTATAAATGCCATTATTAACTATATTATGTTGTATCCACTAAACAGTTTCCAATTACTGACTGATGACAGATTGTCACAACTACAGTCACTAACAAATAGTACGTAGCACAGCATGAGGTTCTAACCCTTTACTTAAAACAATATTTTATCAACTCGTAAAGAATACCTTTAACGCTAAATAACGAGATTTAAATATTTCAATTTAATGTGAGATAGTTTTATTTTTGTTAGAATCCTTTAGGATGTATTTTTTAATCATAGAGCGCCTCTAGTAAAATTAAATATTGGAAATTTATTTTACTAAATTTGTAGGATTTTTAGTAATTTTAAATACTCGTAAATATGGGTAAATCTAAAATAAACATTATACAGTTACTATTCCAGTACTTATAAATTAAAAAAAAAATCACAATTTTCAATGTCCCAAATAAAATTTCATCGCCGTATACAATATACATACAGGACATACTGTTCAGAAGTTTATTGCAGAATCCTACCAGATATTACACATATTACACGTTGCTAAGTAAATCGCAGTTTTAAAGGATGAAAACAAGGAGAAAAGTAGGCCTGTACGTATCACCAACTCGCTCCCAAAAACATCGGTCGCATTTATCTAAAACCTATACAATTTTATAACATTGGTATTTTCATCATGGATGCTATTTTGAACATACTTAATAGTAAATCAATATAAAAAATAAGATGTGTTGCCAGTGTTACGGATGCAGGATAACTATAACTGTATGAAATTTAATTGACCTGTCACACATAAGTGATATGCCGCGGCTGATTACACGAAAGAACAATAGCCATTTTGGACTAGGAAAAATATAAATTATTACCGACATGAGACTGTCACCAAAATGTAGAATATAGTCAACTAAAATTAATGGATATCAACAGTTTATTTTTAAAGGCTCGGGGCTATATAAATTACCGTTTTTAAAACATATAACTTTGCTTATCAGAAGGCAGTATTAAATATCTCAAAAGCAAACGTTAGATCCGAAGTACGTTTTACTAGATAAGACCATAGATACCAGAGTATATAATCTAATAAAAAGCACTCTGTGATATAACCATTAAGTTTTATCCGTACTTTTTCTTAAGTATAAATCGATATTGTTTCTGAATCGAAATTAAATTCTATACCATGGCAACAGTATAATCTTATGTTAATTATTATTGAACTAAGAAAAAACTTTCATTTCAAAATGATACAGATTAATAATATACATAAACTCAAAAAATTGCATAATTACTAGATTCTCCGCATTTTTAAAAATATACTGAATGCCGTACTTTGTTATATTTAAATGAACAAATGAAATGACATAATATGTTTTATCAAGTTACGTCATATTAGATTTTACTAGTACAAGCATGTTGAGGGAGTGGCCATTGTTCTTTAATCTTGCGCGATCTATCATACGATTTTAATAGAAAAGATTCGCTATTGAAATCCGATGAAGAACTTTATATTATCTGCCACTGAATAGCTAAATCTAACATTTAGTACGAATACTTCTACAGCGGCGATAGTATCTGTGACAAATTTACTTTCAAAGTAACAATTGAGATTATATTTGATCGTGATGAAGGATATTATATTATGTAAATATTATATTATATTATATTATGTATTTGTCAAATTTTAACTTCTAAGATTTCAAATGTATGTCATATTTAAACGCGTGTATGAAAAGATGTACATTATATTATAAAGTTTTCAAAATCTGACAACACACAGTTTTGCAGTATACAGAGGTCAGTTTCAACATTGCTACACGCAACCAGCGAAAATAGAAAAAAATGCACGTTGGGAATACTTAACGACCAACTTTGAGAAATAATAGTCAATGAATATCGAAACCACGCCGATGCCAAAAGCAGTATCGTCTATGAAGCGACTTTAGTTTTAACAGAAGTAGCAATGTCGAAACCCCAATGAAAACATACCAACATTTCAATACTACCGAATGAAACTCTATTAAAATATGTGACATTAACATACCTTATTTACTTATACATATATATAACATTCAATAGACATTAAGACATTCTATAGGGACTAGTAAAGTTTAAAGACGTATTTCTCTCTCTAAGAGACACAGTTTAAAGTGTTAAGAGACCCTTCATAAAATAGTCTTATTTTGTAGATATTAAAACATTTGCCAGTGTTAGCCACAGACAATATGTTGAGACTTTTAATTGAGAGACCATTATCTATATTGTCTTATAACATTCATTTATTCATAAACGACACACGAGATAACAAGGATGAAGATATGAGATATAGTGATATAGATTATAAATTTCTTGAATAAAAAAAACAATAAATCGAACAACTATAAATTCTGTACACATATAACTTCCGAAACAATATATATGTATAGGGAACATGAGAAGATAACAGTGGCACAGTGATGCAAGTTGATAGAACAATGCAAATTTCAATGAATATTTGAATGATCTCTAAAATTTATAAATAATTGGCTGCTAACATTATATAGATAATGTATTGCAAACTGAAAGATAAACTTAGAGTCCAACATTTTATTTGATTTACTCATTGCATCATTCTATCAAGTCTGAAACAATTATATTATAGAACAGCTTTAAAAAGTACATTCGGCTCACGCAAGCAGCGATAATTATAGACGATTTTATATTATATCCACTTTCGCTATTATTTCAAAGTTGTTGCAACCCAACGCTTAAATCAAAGGCAGTAAAATCAAATATTAAAAAAAAATGCTTCTCCGAGTCTGACTCCAGTTTAGAAAGTGTTTGTAAGTGGATATCATATAATGTCTCAGATGTCAGGTCAAGTGAATGCGGATGCTCCTCAGAAGTCCGTGCGTCTTGCTTAAGCTGCATTCCAGAGAAAGGACAAACATTTACATTTAGCAAATATACATAATCTTTGTAATATATTTTTATCAATCCTTTTCAATGTTTAGTAAAAAGGACTATCCCGTTGGCTTTGTATTAAAGCTCCAACTTACTGCCCCTTTATTCATATTATTTATAATATAGAATATAATATAATAAGCAAGCTATAAATAGCTCTATACTTTATTCCTCAAAGTTGGTGGTTTATTTAAGACATGAAAATTGACAATGAAATATGTGACTATTCCAACAAAACTAATTATTAGTAACAACGCTGTGAATTAAGTAAATTGGATGCAAATAACTATTTACACTGTGGAAATATGACAGGTGTATAATTAAAGGAAAATGAAGGACCGAAAATAAAATCAAAACCAGAAAACTAAGGACTTCGATTTCTCCACTTCGATTCTCGACTTTTCCCATATACAGGTTTAGTTTTGAAAAGAAAAATATCTCAACCGACTCATCAAGTGTTAGTGTGACTGGAACTTGAAATCGTGTCCGTCTTACCATCGTCGTTTTCTCTATCTACTTTCAATGACTTTATCCGTTCCTTCGCGTTGTCGATTGATTCCTGTGACGACTTCTCTTTGGATATAAGTCTCTCGCTTGCCAATTTTTGATCTGGTAGATTTAGAAAAAACAAAATGTTTCAAAATAAAAATAATGCATCATAATCAAGCAACTAAAGAAATAAAATGGAGTGTTAACTACAAGCTGATTTGAAATTAACGTAAAAATAGGATTTAAATAACAAAAAACTGGTATTTATAAAATGTAAATAGTAGCAAATAAAACGATAACAAATGTAAGATTAACCATGTAATAGGGGCGGATAAATTGATAATAATGATTGTGGTTGTATTAATAAAAGTACATATCGGTAATAAAATGTAAAATATGTGTAATAAGTAAATGTTTACAAACACGGCTGTATTCATATAAGATAATCTGACTTTGTGCGTAAAACAATTAGCATAATACAGATGAAAGAAACATTAAAAACGAGTAGAAAATCCAAAAACGATAGAAAAATTAATAGTGAAGGAGAAAGCATACTTTCAAAAGTAAAAAACTTTTGTGTAAGAGTTATAAATGAGATTGAATCTGCAAAAATTGAATAAGATGATAATGAATATAGAGTAGGATCATACCCTGTGAGTCATCGGCACTCGGCTGGCGAACGGCGGCTGCGTCAGCTTCGTTGGCTTGGCAGATCAACGACAAACGGTAGAAATAATTCCTCCAGAAGTTCTCTTCCGTGATTCTGTAATAGAATTAACATATAGGGATGACCAGGGAAATGAAATGCAATCAGACTTAATAACTGTGACAAGAAGCCGAGAGACTCTCTAGTTAAGACCTCAAAGTAGCATTTTTGTAGCCCTCTTAATTTGGAGTTGAGTGTAGTGTAGTCGAAATTAAATACAATAAGACTTAATAACTATGTTGTGTTTTAAGATAAAGACACATTTATTGCATAACTGTCTATAATATGATCTTAATATATAAGTATATAGTTTTAGGCTCAACAGCCTACTCATGTCGGATATGCAACAAGAAAAAAAATTAAAATTAACAACTTTAATTTTAATTTTTTTCATTTGATTTTATTTTGATTGATTGTAAAAAACATTTTCAATTATCAATTTCTTTAATTTTGTTTTGAAAATATTTCCATTTAATTGTTTAATATAGCTAGTTTCAAGATCCAAACAATTACCTGTTGTCATAGGCTTAGAGACTTTCTAGTTAAGTTCTCAAAGAAGCATGTCTATTAGCCTTCTTAAATATGGAGTCGAGTGTAGTGTGTTTTAATGATAAAGGCTGGCTTATTTGAAGAAATGACGCAAATATGAACGTGCCTCTAACAGTTTAGAACCCAGTATTATAGTTCTGAAGGAACTGGATTAAAGGATTATAACCCAAGGATTTAAACTATAAACAAAACGCATCGTTTAATGCGTTTTGTTTATAGTTTAAATCCTTATATATATATATATATATATATATATATATATATATATATATATATATATATATATATATAAGCTTATATCCTTGACCGTTAGGTCAGTCGCCGTGGAGTCTACATTACCTGAGGATGCCTCGTGTAGAGGCGAAACACGTGTCGTTTTGTCGTCGATGGTGTGTCTTACCTGGAATAGTGGTGTTGGGAGTAGTGGTGCCGGGAGTAGTGGTGTTGGGAGTAGTGATGCTGGGACTAGTGGTGACGGAGTTAGTACATGCAATTGAGGGAGGGCGTGAGGTGCTCTTCAATCCAGGTAAGTCACATCATTGTAATTAGTTAGCGGAAGGTTGCAAGGTAATGAATTATTTATTATAATGGATTTCCGCAAAGTAACGCCTGATTCTATCAATTATATATATACGCAATAACAAACACGACGAACTCCTCACTGCGCCAAAACTCCTCAAATCTCATCTCAAATTAGAGGAGACCTGTGAGACGTTATTAATCTTTACTTTTAGACATGTTTCGGTAATGTTTATTACGTGGAAGATACATACACTTTGGGCACAAGGTCGAAGCGCATCGTCTCGAGGTTGGGATCCTCACTCATGATGGCTACAGCCACTGGGTACATCTTGTCGTAGTCGAATTCGAACTCCACGCCAGCTGGGGGCGCGCGAACGAAGTTCCGACGATCCTGTAATACGTTTAAAACATTCTTTGATCAGCCACACACGAGACATGTTTTTCCCGACTTAAGGAGGGTTTATCCCGACCGTCAGGCGGATTTCACGACCACAGTACCAGACGTCTCGCACGTGTGATGCTGTTGCACTTTGCCGATTTATTTACGAACACGTAGAGAGAAATGGTAGAAATGACCTAAGCTATATTTTATATTCAAAAACTATAGAGGATTTTTGTGAAATCAAAAAATTGATAAATAAATATAGTTTTTTGTAATAACTAGCATAAACTATATGAGATATAAAAAAATTTCGACCAATAATTTTTGCTTTGAAATTTTACCCAAATAGTTCCTCACACTTTCATCGTCATCATCATTACAGCCCTTCAGAAGTCGACTGCTGAATAAAGGCCTCCACCAAGGAACGTCACAAGAAAGCCCGGTCCTGAGCCACTTGCATCCATCGAATCCATCTAATGGGAGGTCGCCCTACACTTAGCTTGCCGGTACGAATTTGCCACTTGAGAACCTTCTTCCCCATCTGTTTTCGGTTCTTCGAGCTACATGGCCGGTCAATTTCCACTTCGGGTTAAAAATCCTCACACTTACCTTATTTTTTTCTATCTCTTATTTTACTTCAACGATAAATGATAATAATTTTAAAAGATAAAGTGATAATATAAGACATTTTTACGTAAAATTAATCGAACTTTATTTTATTTTAATCCTTTTCTCATTTCGCACATAGTTTTCTAGATTGTATAAAAAAAACAGAGTTTAAAATAGTTTTTCAATAATTGACTAATTGACTAATTTGCTAAAAACTACTATTATAGATTTTCAAAATATTTTGTTTGTGTAATATTTTATTGTAAAAGCTAGTATCAAACAAAACCCTCTCTCAGAAATAAGATGAAGTCTGTGCCTAGCATTTCGACTATTATATGCTGTAATTTTCTTAAGCTATTTTGTAAATAGAACACCAAGAAGAAGATAAGGGGCATAAAAACTTATCGCATTCATATCGTTGCAAGCTATAATTAATGCCCCTAGCGCCATCTAGTGTCGGGGAGCAGAGCGAGGGGAGCTTTCTAAAAAATGCCATGCCTGAACTTTCCACCAACAGAGCCATTTAGTATCTAATAGAAGAACTAACCTTTCTAGAAAAGTCCACACTCGAATTTTCTATATTATCTAGTCGGTCGGGACTGGAACATTCTAGATGTTTCGGTGGAAAAGGCATATATAAAGCCGTTATGGGCCCCGACCGGGCAGTATTGACTTGGCGATACGAGCTGTTATATCCCTTTTTACAAGACAACAAAATATTAGTAAGCATTTATTTAATCACACGGTACTTCTCCTTAATATAGCTATAGTCAGCAATTATATTGTTATATTGTTCTTTTGTTGTATTGTTCTTTTGTTATATCCCTTTTACAAAGCAATAAAATATTAGTAAGCATTCATTGAATCACACGGTACTTTTCCTTAATATAGCTATAGTCAGCAATTATATTGTTATATATTGTTTCTTTCCATTTTTAAAGTTCAGTTAGACTCAGAGCCCCGGGTAGATCGGACATAGATTCCGAGACTTATTAGAGTTCGGAAGTCAAGGACTATATTAATTTGGTGTGAACTTTTTTTTTGCAATAAACCTTTAGGTTTATTTGGTGTTTCTTTTTTTTTAAAAGTCAAACGGGATCGGCCTCCTAACAAATTGGTGTCAGAAGTGGGATGCCAAACAGAAGGTCATAAAAGACTTTGGCATCCGAATCCGAGGTCCCCGAAATCACCAAGGTCGACATTAAGCCTTAGCCGTGCCTAAGCCTGCGCCTACCACAATTTGGACGACGATCAGCCTCCGCTCTGAAGCGTGAGCCCGCTCCATTCACATCTGGTCCTGAAATCACCCGTCTGGCCGACGATCAGCCTCCACCAGGAGCCCGCACCAGCTGGGTCTAACTCACCAACATAAAAACATTTTCTGAAGAATATTCTACATCTTTCATTCCTACCATTTCCCACGACGCGACGAAGTCACCGTGTCAGCGATTCCGCCCGCCAGCCGCCACGAGTGTAACGTGTCACCGAGCCATTGTTACGAGTAAATGCAACGTATAGAAGTTATTATTTTCCTGTAAGTCGTTTTGTTTTGTAAATTAAATTTATAAAATTTACCTTTATTTTACACTGTTTTGTACTATAACCTTTTTACTTCATTTTATTGTGATTATCTTATATAACTTCAAATTTTAATTTTATTTCTATGTCGCTTAAAGCAGAAAAAAGTAAAGACAATATGTCAGAAAAAATCACACTTTCGTTTTTGACGAAATTTATAAAATCTTATAATGGGGAGAAGGAATCTCTCCCCGCTTTTCTTACCAACTGTGATAATGCAATGTCGTTAGCTACGGCAGAACAACAGCCTATTTTGTGCAAATTTATTATCTCACAGCTAGAGGGAAAAGCTCAGGTCGCATGTAGTTTAAAAAGTTTCGAAACGTGGAACCAAATAAAGTCATTTCTTCGTTCTACTTTTGGGGAGAAAAAACACTCAACACATTTATTATCAGATTTGCAAAATTGCAAACAGTCTTCCGACGACGTTACTAAATTTTCTTTAAGATTAGAACAAATTTTAACAAAAATTCAGTCAGATATACACTATAGCTGCAAAATTCCTGACGAACTTCCAGGTAGAATAGCCGCCATGGAGGACCTAGCATTAAACACATTTTTATTAGGGTTAAACCCTGCTATTTCTACTATTGTTAGGTGTAGAAATCCTCAAACTTTAAACGAAGCTGTTCAATTAGCCATAGATGAAGAAAAATTACAGAATCTTCAAATGTGTTCAAAAAATTCAATGAAGCAGTGTAATATATGTAATGAAGTAGGTCATGTCGCTACGCAATGTTTCAAAAATAAGAACCATTCTAATTTTAAACACAATAAACAAATTTCTCATTTATCTAGTTCTAATTCTGATAAATTAATTTGCAACTATTGCAAAAACATAGGGCACACTATTGATCAATGTAGAAAGCGACAATATAATATGCAACATCGTCAAAATTTTAGTAAAAATTTTAATCGTAACCCTAATACTAGTTCTAACTATATAAATCGTAGCTCAAATAATAATTCTAATTTTGTAAGCCGTAACCCTAACCCTAATTCTAGTTCTAACTCTGTGCCTATGCACATGACATGTAATAACGAATAATTCTAACTCTTTAAACTAAATAAGATTTCGGATACGTGTCTGCCGAAATCGTACTGTGGTAATGACACGAAAACAATTAATAATACTATTTCTACTAACTTTTACAAAAATAATGCTAAATCTTATTCTAATTCTAATTCATCTCGGCGATGCATTAACAAGCAACCGAGTCATTCTAATTCATTTACATCTCAGCAACCCAAGGAGGTGAAGCTGAGTCTTACTAGTTCTCATGCACCTCAGTTGACCGAAAAGGTACAACCGAGTCTTACTAAGTCGTTTACTATATCTACATCTCAGCAACCCAAGGAGGTGAAGCTGAGTCTTACTAGTTCTCATGCACCTCAGTTGACCGAAAAGGTACAACCGAGTCTTACTAAGTCGTTTACTATATCTACATCTCAGCAACCCAAGGAGGTGAAGCTGAGTCTTACTAGTTCTCATACACCTCAGTTGACCGAAAAGGTACAACCGAGTCTTACTAAGTCGTTTACTATATCTACATCTCAGCAGCCCAAAGAGGTTAAGCCGAGTTTTAATGAGTCTTATTCTAATTCTATTCCTATTTTTGAAACGAGCATAAATACATGCAAGGTTTCGTTACCATACACGAATTTATTAACAAAATATTCTCCTAAGTGTCTCAAACTTCTTATCGATACCGGTGCAAGCGTTTGTGTCATAAAACACTCATGTTTAAAAACGAAACATGAACTTCTTAAGGACAAGGTAAGAATCAAAGGTATAAATGATACGGATACGTATAGCGAAACAATAGGCTCAATCTACTTGCAATTTTTATTAAGTGATGAAACTTACGAGCACAAATTTTATGTCATTAACGATAGCATAAACCTTAATTACGACGGTATTATCGGTACAGATTTTCTTAAATATTTTAATGCTAATATAGATTATAGTTCTAAGATAATGACTCTTTGCAGTCACCAAGTTCCTATTATATTTCACCAGCCAACCTACACCGTTCCAGCACGCTCAGAAGCAGTCATTGAATGCACTATATCAAACTACTCGCTCGAGACTTATCGGAATAATGAAGCCTTAGTTCTAGATCACACATTAAGCAAGGGTGTTTACGTCGCTAATTGTATAGTATCGGTAAAACCAAATAAAATGGTTAACATCACTGTTTTAAATACGACTGATACAGACATAGAAATTAAAGATTATTCCGTAGAATTAACACCTATAGATTACGATAATTCTATTTCCTGCGAAAATTCAATACCTAGTAAATCTATGTATTCCGTCTCGACTTCCAAATCTGATCGAATGAATCGAGTATTAAGTCTTTTACGCTGCTCTCATCTCAACGATGAAGAAAAGAAAGCACTTCTCAATTGCTGTTCCGATTATACGGATATCTTTCACCTCGAAGGTGAGCCCCTCTCTTTTACGAATGGCATCCAACACTCCATAGATACGGGTAACGCACCCCCAGTTCACGTAAAATCGTATCGCTTCCCCGAGTGTCACAAGGAAGAAGTTGATACACAAATTCGCAAAATGCTAAATCAGAATATAATCCGTCCCTCTGTTTCGCCTTGGAGCGCCCCGGTATGGGTAGTTCCGAAAAAATTAGACGCTTCTGGCAAGAAAAAGTGGAGAATAGTCATTGATTATCGTCGCCTCAATGATATCACGGTTTCAGAAAGTTATCCGCTGCCTCTTATCACTGATATCCTAGACCAATTAGGCCATTCGAAATATTTTACAACTCTCGATCTTGCTAGCGGTTTCCACCAGATAAAGA